AATTATTGTATGACTACTTCATTTGGAAAGTTTCTTGTGTTTTATAAAGAACACTTTTGATTAAAAAAGTACAAAAATTAAATAAACAAGAATTTATCATTTAAATTTCTCCACAGCCATCAGACTTTCGAATATTTCCTTGTCACCTTTTCCATTATTTTTCATTTTTGTGCCACTCTGACTTTACGCACTGCGCATCCAACTGGTTTATAAGTGTATCCAATCAATTTATTCGACTCAAGTTGTTTTAAACTCTGTGAGTTTGTGTATTAATCAAAATCAGAATAAAACTCCTTGTTGTTTTCTATGTACTTTCTTCTTCTTTCTCGTGCTAAATTGATCGCTTTTTGGCAATCACACTCGCCTCGTAGAAACTCGCCAATTATATTGACTATTATAGATACAGAGATTTGGCATCTTGGGTCGTAGTGAGTCACCTTCCCAAATGTGTTTGCCGTCTCTTCCACCTTTTCGATATCCCAAAAATAAAGAATCACAGCAATTGAAGACCTCATCACACTCCCATTAAAAGCCGCTCGTTTTTCTCTTTCCCAAAGGTCCATCGAATTTTTGATGGACGTTCTGTTGAAGTTTTCAGACGACAAAACACTTCGCGTGTGGATGCCAACATCCGAAGGCTTAATATCCCCGACTTCGGAAAACCTGATATTTTACCAATACACACACCAAGCTGCAAAGTCTTTTGGAACACAAATTTTATTGTTTGTTACTAAAAAGTTGAGTATTAGAAGCGACTGATTCACGTTATCAGTCCAAATAACATAAAAATGTGATTCTCTCGTGTTCATAAATTGATTTGGATTGTGTTTTAAAGAGAAAATCAGTTAAAATACCAACAGCGTCGCAGACGGCTTGGCCAAAAACCGTTGAAATTATTTTTGAACGAATGTTTTGAAACTATTTTAAAGAAAAAGATGTATAAATTTCTTAGGGAATAAATTTAAATATTCAGTGAAAAAAAGATGGCGGTTTAGGCATTCCATTATAGCACATAGTAGTATCACTTGTATTGGAAGACAATATCTTGATTGTGTTGGATCAGCCAAGACGTTCTTATTGTTCTCATTGGATTGAAATCATGGTCATGTGTATTTTATAAATTGATTAAAAGAAATAAAAAAGAATTTAAATTTGTTTTTTTAGAAATAAATAGAACATCATCTCAGTGATAATTAAAATAAGAAAACCCCCGCAATACAAGTGTTAATACAAAGCTTTTTCATAAAATTGGGTTTATTGTGTATATAATTATTAAATAGTTTAGTGATCAGAATGCCAACGATAAAAACCGCGATTTGGTGACAAAAATCCAATCACAACTAATTGTTTTAATGTTACAGTAACAAACTATATCTATATTATAAAAAATCGTTATAATTTGTGGCTTAAATCGTTCTGAAATAATTGAATTTTATTGTACAAAACACTGTTTTTTTTCTTCAAAACACTACATATTGGTCATTACTAATAATTACAAAGCTTAAGATGGAAAATTATTCCACAATAAAAATTAACTATATTTCTATAAATACATTTAAATCAAAAAAAATTCAAGAAAATTTAATGAATAAATAAGATGGTTAGTGTGTAAAAGAATTAAAATAAATCGAAAGTATTTTTTAAAAAATCCGACAATAAACCACTTTATTAATTTAGACAAAAATAACAAACAATTAAAGAAAATATTATAAATTTGTCAATTTTATTTAAAAATAAACTTAATTTAAAGTATAAATAACTTGTTGAATTTAAAAATAAAAATAAATTCCTGAGATTAATTTCTATGTGTCACTTGTTTGCTATAACCAATGCAAGTATTGACTGAATTAAATAAGCTTGTTTGTTTGTTTGATGTCTATTTTTATAATAAAGTTATTTCCCTTGTGATTGTAATAATTTGTTTGTAATAAAAATATAATTTATTGTTTTGCTCAATAAGAAAATAATTAGAATACAATAAATTTGTTGTTTTTAGACAGACATTTTTATTTTTATTTCGTTGACTTTTCAAATAACAGTTACTTTTGTATTTAAAAAAACATATTAATTATTATTATTTTAATATAAAAATAATAAAACACACTATTTTTTTTAATGATTTATAATTATATTGAATTGTAGAATAAATATACCACCCAATTAAAACTGTTATTCCAACAATATTCAATATTTCAAATACAACAAAAAGTTTTTTTGAAAAAATACCTTTTTATTTAAACTTTAAAAATACAACAATATTTATTAATTTTAATAAAAATACAATTAAAGTGGTTAAATAACAATGATAAAAAGAGACACAATAGCTTTGTTTTGATTTTTAAAAATAAAAAACTGCATTATTCTCATTCAGTATTATTTGGTATTAACTTCTCAAAAGAAAACAAATTAAACAAGTCACATGCATAGAATACATTATAAAACCACAAAATAAATAAAAACATGGCATATAAAGATCCAAACGCTTATATTCAGCATTTTATTTATAGTATATCGAGCAATTTTTCTATAAACAATACGAAAATTAAAAATAGAAAAAAATAATATATAAACAATAATTTGATAATTCAAAACATCGATCAATGATATACAACGACACTCAAAGTAAACCACAAAATTATTTATCACAAAGGTTTTGAATACGACCAAATGGTGCCAGTTACATATTCAGGCTTGAATTGAAAAGCTTGTAAATAAATTCCATAGGAATAATTATGGATACAATGACAATTGTTTAAATAAAAATGTACAATTAACAACATTGACAATGTGACTGAAATATGAATCACAGACACAACAAAAAATCGAATTATATATATGTAATAAGAATTATACAATTAGTGTGTTGTCAGCTCAAATATATTAATTTAAAGACAAAAGCAAACATACTTAAAATACAACACACCATCGAAGGCGTCAGTGACTAAATAGCAACTGTAATCATATCATATTATCTCTTTATTACATTCTTATTATATTTGAATAAACGCCTTCCCCATTTGGTCATTCAATCATTGTTTTAATATTATACACAGGTTGTTCTTTATTTTAAAACATTAAAAATATTAATCACGTAGAATATAAGTACTTAATGATAGGCCGGCTTTTGAAGAGTCGGCAACCCATGTAAATGAATATTTACATGGTTTATATATACCATTCAAATATATTACAACACAACTTCTAATGTAATTATTCTCGATATACAAAAGCGTCTATTCTCGTTCCCAAACACAAACACATGGTAATCATGACAATTATTAAATTACATATGAACATCTCTAAATGGCAAATAATAATACCATTCAATATCAACACAATACATTTAAATACAAACATTAATTACTGGTAACGCCTTTATTGTATTTGTGACTTTTTTATTCTAAAAAAGTGCCTCTGTGTTTAAAAAAATCAAAAAACAAAATGACTAAAAACTGAAATATAATGATTACGTGCTTAAATAGCGTTATACACCACTTAAACAAAAAAATGTTCGGAGGTTTGATCGCTCAAATGATTAAAATCAAGAGCAATTCACAAAGGTTAAAAACATGGAATAAAATTGATGAAAAAAAAGAAAGAGTAGTTTGATTATTATTGATTGATTACCTTGTTATTATTTTATTGGACTTAATAAATAAACGTTGAATAACAATTCAATAATATAATTTTTGGAAAAACATTTGAATAAAATGTAAATAATTATGTTGATTTTGAATAAATACGTATGATAATACTCGAAATCGTTTGCTATAACCACGTATTGGTTTATCAGTAATATTATCAGAACATTGTTTTATAATAGTAATTAACGGCAGATGTAACATCACGGTATCTGTTTTTATTTTAATCAAAATTTTGGTATTTATGATAGATGTGTAGAAACCCATTAAACGATAATGTTATCATTTTAGTTGATAGTATCCGCTTTGTTCCTTCCTATGTCTTTTTAAGTTGAATAAATTCAAAAGCACAAAAAGACAACACGAGAAGCTTTTGTATTGTCTTTTTCTTTTTAGTGTTGTGTTATCGTTTGGTTAATATCAGTAATGTTGTTAATATATAACAACACACCCCATTAAGACGTGTTGTTGTTTTTTATTTCAGAACTTTTATTATAAAATACAATTAAAAAACAACTTTTCGTTAACCAATTTTTTAAAAAAAATCAATACACAAACCCGTTTTATAACATTTCAATGTGCCACAAATTAATACAGTATAAATAACAATTGGTTTATATCTATTTGAACTATGTCTTCATTATTTTATACTAAAACTAGTTTAATTCACATGTTTTTTTACATTGGATTTAAAAAATATCATAATATTTCCAACTAAATATATTGTATCTAAATTGTCAACGTGTAAATATTGAATATTTTCAAGTCACCCATTTTTTAAAAAAGTTGTCTCTGATCTTTTTAAATATCTCATGGATTAAATTACCATCGACATCAGCGTACAAGTTTCTAATTTCATCTTCATATTTAATGGATTCACACAAGTCATAGTCTATTGATTACTTTTTTGTTTTGTTTAATGTTAAAACTTGTAGGCTTAAAAAAATGTTGTAAAAGAACAAAAAAATAAGGTGCGGGTTTCTCCCTTCACATTATATATTTATTATTTGTTGGTTGTTTATTCTGTGCCAGACAACACAATTTAAATTGTAAGATTAACAATTCAAATAAAAATTTTTGTTTAATTGCAATAATTCACCAGCAATACTAAAATTTTTTCAATTGAAAGTCTATCATTGGGGTTTTAACACCAACATTTTGTTATTATGTCAAACAATTCAGTTGTTATTTCTTTTGGTTGATCAACTCTTTTTCCTTTTGTAACAAATTCTGCTATTTTCCATAGAAATTTGAACGATTCGATTGGATAGACATCCCCCCGTTTTAAACACTCACACATAGTTACTCCAAATGAAAACACATCAGCTGGTTTTTTTGTACTTTTGTTGTTCCAGCACTTCAGGCGCCATATAAATTGGTGTTCCAATACCCTTTGTGAAAGTCATGTTGGTCATCAACATATTGACATTTCTACTACTTCCAAAATCAGTCAATTTTGCACTGACTTTTTCTTTTACATCAAGTGAGAATACAAGAATATTGTCTGGCTTGATGTCTCTGTGTAATATCCCATTTTCGTGTAGATATGATATTCCCTTTGCTGCATCCAACAGCATTTTAATACGTAATTTCATATCAATATCATCAGATTTTTTGTGTTCTATTAAATCTTGTAAACACCCATATTGTGCAAATTCAGTGACCATACAGATCTTGTTTGGTATAAAAACAGCGCCATAAAAATGGATGATATACTCATTTCTAAATTTTTCTAACATAGAAACTTCCTTTTCAAATTCGACTTGTCCTTTTTTGTCATCCTTTTTCTTTAACTTTTTTATTGCAACAACATTTCATCTGTAAGTTACTTTGTAGACAATTCCAAACGAACCCTCTCCAAGTTTGTTCTCCTCTTTTAATTCCTCATAATCAATTCGTGTTGTTTGTTGTGTTATTCCAACGACTTTGATTGGGTTGAATATTTCTTCTTGTTTTTTGAGGCACTTTGAAACAATTTGAATTGTGTTTTTGATTTGACACGTGCAAAAGGGGATTAAAACAGCTTCAAATTCACAAGCATATCCCTTTTTAAAACAAACAACTTCTGGTCTAATTTTAAGATTAAATTTGTCAAATTTTGATGTAATTGTGAATTGGATTTTAACAACATTTTTGTTATTGTTTCCAACACAGAAAACTTCTCGACTTTCCAAATTCACTGGAATTTCATTTATATTTTTGTTGAAATTAATTTCTTTGGAGGAAACACAAATTCCGTTCTGAAGAAAAACGAAATGAATATTCGACCTCTTCATTTGAAATACGGTTGTTGTTTTCTCTACTTCTTTTTTGTGGAGTTTTTGCATTATTTTCTTTGTGGTTATTATTATTATCACAATAAGTGATACAAAGATAATAATAAATAATAACACCATTAAAAATATCACCCACCAAACAGCCTGTGTTTCACAATAAGTCCCATCTTCACTTGGTTCATTCCAAAATGAACACTTCATACACTTCGATTTAGTAATTTCATTGCATTTTAATATTAGTGAAAGATCAACACATTTTCCGTTTGAAAGTAAAACAAGTGAATTATCACATGAAGTACATTTGTTTGTGGACGAACATGTTAAACAAATTTGTTCACATTTCTGACATTCGTTTGTGTTGACTGTAAAATACCCATCTTGACATTTTGGACACCCATTTTGTGTAACATCCACTACACACCCGACGATATCACTTTGTGGCATACACTCACCGCCGATTGTTTTGTAATTTGTTGAATTGCAGGTGAGACAACTATTTATGTTTAGGCACTTCCCACATTTTTGATCACATTTATAACAATCAAGTCCTACTCTGTAATACCCGTCTTTGCACACAACACAACCACTTCCAAAACTTGCATATTGGTCACACTTCGTTTCCAACTCTTCGTTTGTGTTGCATTTGTAATTTGACAAATACGTGTTTTGTGGACAACTGAGACATTTTGTCGATGTTTCAAAACACATCAAACAACTTGGGTCACAACTTTTACATTGTTTTGTTGACTTATCAAGATAATAAATGTTGTCACATCTCCAACACCCAAAAATGTTTTGAACATTACAATTTTGTTCACCGTATTTCTTGCATGTATTATTGGATAAAATAAAATCATTTTCACATTCATCACATCTCCCATTTAAAAAATATTGACAGTTATCAATTATTGTTGTGCATTTACCATTTTGGTCGTTTGGGAGTACACAATCATTCTTTTCACATATTCCATTTATATTCATTTTACTTGAACTATCACACTTTGTCGCTATTCCATTTTCACATATTTCAGCGTTTGTGAAAAATTCATTGCATTTTAAACAATTTGTTGTGTTTAATACATAATTTTTGTTACAAGAAACAATGTTGTTGTTGGTTGTCACCTCACTGTTAATATCACTTTTTACGCATGTACCATTGTTGTTAACGTACCCATTGTTTGTGTTGCATATTTGGCACTTTTCATCAAATTGAACAATTAAACAAGTCTCATCATTTACACACAAACCATCCTTTAATGAAAAACCCACCGAACACTTAAAACATATTTTTGATACCGAATATTCACAATTTAAAATTTATTCACATTTCGAATTGATAACTGCAAATTGACTTTTGCAAGTAATACAACTTGTTTTAATTAAAGGACAATATCTACAATTCACATCATCACAAATGGTTGGGTCTTCACACTTTTGAGACGTTTTATTGTACATTTTATCTGTGCAATTCAAAACAAGTTTTTTAATATTTTTCTTTGTATATATTGCGGCGTTGAACTGTACATCTCCAAACTGCAATATTGTTTCTGAAACAAACAGAACCGTTTTTGTTAATTCAAAAAGTTTAATATCAATTGTTTCTGGTGTTAAAATACCAAGAACAAAATTATCAGTTTTGTTCAAAGAAATTTTCGTGTTTCCTATTCTAACACTTTCTGATTCATATTCATCACTTATGAAGCTTGTTATTGTATATGTTCCAATTTTTATTGTTAAAGATGTAATGTTTTGGAGAGGAGTGATATACCAGTCTTCTGTGTCATTACATGGACAGTAAGTTTCAGCGTATTTCAGATTATAGTTTGTAACTTCTTTGAGATGACAAAATATTTTCTTCGAATTTCCGTATCTCAATAATTTGCCGTCCATTAACAATTGTGTACCCGCTAAATATGTTACTGTGATTCTCGTTAAAGAGTAAATTAAATCAAAATTGTTTTTTGATTGCACAGTTGAGTTTGTAAAATCAATATAAATTGAATTAATATTAAACATGACAGGTAAGTCTCTAATATCCCTGTTAGTAACTATTATTGTTGAATTGACAAAAATAAATCCATATCTTATTTCAATAAAGGACTTTCCGGTCACATTTAATACAGTTGTATAAATAAAATCATCTTCATATATACAAGGTTGAAAACAACGACCAGTATTAAAAGAAATTGTTTCTACCTGTTTTGAATCATTCATACCATTTAAAGTAACAACACTTCCTCTAACAAAATAAATGGAATATGTGTTGTATATTTTTGAATGATTGTTTAACACCAAATATGAATTATCGACAGTCATTGAATTGTCGCTAATGTTTATTTCGGAATTATCATTCAATGTAGCATGTGTTTTATAATAAAAACAACAAAGTCTAAAACCAGTTAATTTAGAATAATCATTTAAAACCAAAGTTGAAGTAAAGAAATATATATAGTGTCGAGATCATCATTGAATAATTGTTCATTGTTAATTGTGAGTTAGCGTAAAAATACGAGTAAGATGTAGTTTCTATCGTAGTATTTTGATTCATTACAATTATACTATTTTTTGACAAACTTAATTGACTCTGTAATGATAAAATTGCATTGTCATTAAATGTTAATCGAAAGAAATCTGTCATTTGTAATTTTTGGTATATATTTAACTTTGAATACCCACAAATTGAACCAGAGGAATATTCTTGAAATGATAAAATATCGTTTGTTTTTAAAACAGAATAATCATTCATTTCTAATTTTGAATAACCATAAAATTTTGTTAAATGAAATAATGTTAATTGTGAATTCTCAAATTGTTCAATAGAACCATAACTTACACAAGTGACATTACAATATATATTAACAGAAGAGTTTGAAACTATTTTAAACTGAATAACACTTGAAGAAGTTTCAACTCCAATTGTTAAATCGTTATTTATTGTTCACGTATTATTGACCAAAGTTGTTGTTATTGTATTTGAAAAAAGACAACTTTGTGAAATGACAGAACAAATAAGAAATGATGTTAAGCAAATGTTTGTTGACTTAAACAAATACATCAACATATTTATTTAGATATCGAATTACCATGTTTTTGTATGTTTAAATAATTTAATGTAATTACTTTTTTTAGTAATTATTATTTATTTATTTTCAAATTGATTGTTGAAAAGTTCGCAATTTTTAAGAAAAATAATATTAAAAGTGTGTTTTCTGATTCACAAAATTTTGAATATAGTCAAAGGCGTCTATTTTTCATGAATCTAGCAGAAAAACGTATTTGTCGTAAATGAATGAATTTTGTAGAAAATTCTTTTAATATTGAAATTTATTTTTTATAATTTTTTTAATTAAGTTACAGACATGGCTCGGTATTAGGGATGTCGAAACGGTTTCCTAAACAATTTTTTGTTTATTTCTGAAACAAATAATTTTAGTATGTTTTAAAACACAAATAAAAAAGTTTGTGAAACAATTTCAGTTTTTGAAATTGTTTTAAAAATAAATAATACCTGTTTCGTTTTCAAACATTGTGTTTTGAAACCACTTGTTTTCAAAACAACGGTTTCTCAAACATTATTTTTTAATTGTGTTGTAAAATGACATTTACAAACAAAATTTATTTTTAAAAATATTTCATTAATTTTATTTTATTTGTTTAAACAAATTATAACAATAATGTCAAAATTATTTATTTTGATTATTATTCAAAACTTACTTTTTAATCCGGCAATTAGTCAATTTTATTTTACTTAAAACAATTAATAAACGAGTACTGTGTTATCAATAATTGATCAAAATGATCATTCGAATAAAATATGACATTTTTTCATTTATTAAAATATCCAATAAAATACTTCACATCGCCAATCTAATAAATAAGAAAAATGTCAAATAGTTATACATACAAACACGACGATAATAATAATATGATAGTCGTTTTAACCGAAAGAAAATATTTAAAAAACACTAATTATTTTATACCATCATTTAAACCCAATCTTTTTCATCTTTTACACTAATGTTTAACCCTAAGCATTATTTACATTACATCGAAAAGTTGAATTGGTCGTTTATGCATTTCACTAATCGGTTTGTTTAAGTTGAAAGTAACAAAAGATAATTTAACATTTTTAAAAATTGAAATAATAAAAACTATTAAACTTAAAATACATTATTCTTTTGTATATAACAGCAATAATAAAGTTTAAATTAAATACTTATTTATAATTATGTCAATATTTTGGGCCTGTTTCCAAAATGTCACGGCTTAATTATAATTAATCAATAGAATTATTGATATATAAAACATGTTTTTAATTACAAAAATATTTATATTTGGATTATTGATTTATAATAATTGATGTTTTTTAAATGATGTAATATCATAATAAATTATTTAATGATCTTCAAATATGACTGTTATTGTTAATATAATTATACTTATGTTGATATGTTGTTTTAGTTAATTAAAAATAACAACATTGATCATTTTTATAATTTAATTATGTTTCATGTTGTCATTATTTTTCACTTTATTTATAAATGATGTGAATTAGACAAAAACATTAATATATAAATAATTTTTATAATTTATTATTTATCAAATATAATATTTACATAAATAACATTAAATACTGATTTATACTACAAATTTGCATTGGAAAGTTGTATCTAAATGATATTATATATGAATAATGATTTTATAATCATGTTCCTTATAGTTTTATAACAATTTGTTATTTTAACAGCATATAATAATAAATTATATATACAACAAATTACATTATTTTTAAAAGTATAACACTTTTCTCTCGAACCATATTTGTTTTTTTTTAAAAAATATAATTCTTATATTATAAAACTTAATATTTTTAATTTTTAAAAAACAAAAAATATTATAAATTATTATAATTATTAAATTATTCCAGTATCATACCTGTGCGACAATTTTCTATTCCAACCAATTCTTTCAGATTCTTTTTTCTTGTATAAGTATATATAAGATACATTTTTTCTAAACGAGTAGGGGATAATTTATTCCTATTATTTGTTGTGTAATTTCCAGCTAATGAAAACAACCTTTCGGAAGGGGTGCTTGCACATATAACAGATGCATGATTTACTCCAAGTTTTGAAAGAGCAGGCCAGCATATTTCTTTGTTTTTCCAATATGTCGCAAAATCGTTGAAATTGTCATTTTCAAGAGGTTCATTTTCATATCTCATCATTTGCGACAATACATCAATATTTGTATTTGTCTTATTTCGAAGAGTTACAGAATATCTCAATTTTGGTGTTGCTTCAATTTGTGACAATTCTTGTGTTTGGGGAACAATTGAATTTTCTTCAATATAAGATTTGATTAACATCCTTATTTCATCGGCCTCTTCAGTGTTAAATACCGACAATTTTACAACAGGATTAAGGATATTTGCTAACATCACTTTTGGATCTTTTCTTAAATTGTACTCCCCCTCATAGAAATAAAAATTTAATGATTTAATTACATTATCTAAAAATTCAATTTTCGTTTTAGTCAAATCAAATTTAAAATGTTCTTCGTAATCGAAATTTACATTTTTAAGTTGTTTTGTGGTATAATTCAAACAGTAATCCGGAGTGTATTCTTCATCTCCAATTGTTAAAGTAAGTTTCGTTTCTTCGATAATTTCATTTGTATTTTTATTGGATTCCATTAAATCAGTTAAATCCATTTTAAGTTGTTCAATTTCAACGTACAAATAAAATAATGTTGGTATTTTTTCGGATGATAAAAAATCACTTGTATTTAATAGAATTTATTACATTTCCAACGAAACCAAGAACTTTAAAATCACTTTGCGAAAAAGTGTGATTTGCAATAAACAATTCTTTTTCTTTTTTGTTTTTTATTAATTTTGAACGTTCTATAAACAACCGGTTTATTTCTTCACCACTCACAATTACACTTTCTATCATTCCAATCTTTGTAAACCATCTAATTTCTATATCAGTAATCAATCTTTTATACTCCTTGTGTTCTTTTTCAAAAATGTTCTTTAATGAAGAAAAAAGTGTTGGACTTTTTTAATCTTTTTCACAACTGTCTTGGCCTTTTTAAGGACACTATTGTTTGATAGTGTATCTGTAATTGATTTTTTAATTGCAAGATTTAATTTGTGGCATGAACAACCGATTGATTTTAGTCCTGCAGCTTCCACTGCAATAACTATATTTTTTAGCATTATCACTGATAACAACAAAATCTCCAAACTTTTCCAATGACCAATTTTCAATGCAATTGAGAAGAAAAATGGAAATATTTGTTGTTGTATGTACATGTAAAAATTCAGTAAGTTGTAAAACACGAGACGTTATTTCTCCATTTTTATAAAAGTGAATAGTGAAACTGTAAAAACTCAATTGAGTTTTTGATGTCCAACCATCAACTGTAGCACATATTCCATTATTATTTTCATGTATTTCGTCTTTGATTTCTTCTTTGTATTTATCATATATTTCTTCAATTCTTGTTGTAACACTTTGTCGACTGGGGACAACATATTCTTGATCAACCATTTTCATTATTAATTTGAATGGTTCCATTTGAACAATAAAAATGGGTATTCCTGGATAAACACACAAATGAGTTAGAAGTGAGTCCAAATTTTTATGTGTAATATTCCAGTCACGATATCCTATATTATATAAACTTCTTTCGGATGTCTGTGTGTCCATATTAATATGATAATTGTGAATTAAATTATTTCGCATATTTGTAGTTACTAGTTTGTTAGTACAAGCAAAAGAACAGCGACAGTCACCAACTTGACATTGATATTTAAGAATACCATGGGCTCTCAAAAAGTTCTTGTTTTTCTATCTTTTTGTGTGTTTATATTTTATTATGTGTTGCATTTTTGAAATATTTTTTCATATTTGTATCTTTTGATGATATTTTCAACTGGTTTATTGTCAACCATTTTTATTTCAACTTCAACCAATGAACAGTTTGACCAAAATGGTCCAATAGCTTGAACTTGATCGTCATTTGATTCTTCCATGATTAATATTGTTTAATTATTCAGTTTCTATACATTAACATTTCGAATATTGGTGTGGACATCCTTCTGATTAGACTTTGGGCTTGCTCTTTTTGTTATGAAAAATTAGTATTTAAAAATGCCATTAAAACGGGATGTTATTTTTACCCGATTCTTTGGAGTTTTTAATACTAATAATCATTTGTAAAAAATATCACGCCCGAAGTCTACTTCTGAAGTGAATATATAACTTGTTCCCTTCATTTGGAAAAATAAGTTTATTTTTTTAAGATTT